AAAATGTATACATGCTCAGGCAATAAAATATTCTCATTCCATACTCCTCCTCACATAACTCCTTCCCCAAACACTTTGACAAAAACAAAGATGTTTAGTGACCCAATATTCTGACCATTAGATTTCCAATGTTTAAATTAAAACCATAACTGCCAAAAGCAAAATTTAAGGGATATACCAGTAAATCGTTTGGAGTAAACTCTCTTTTTCTAATGTACTTCAAATCATACTACCCCCAACACATACAAATAGGACTACTTCTTACCTACATTATGATTTTTTTTTTAAGGCGGGGTTTCACCATGTTGGTCAGGTTGGTCTTGAACTCCTGACCTCAGGTGATCCGCCTGCCTTGGCCTCCAAAGTGCTTAGATTACAGGCGTGTGCCACCACGCCCGGCCTCCTACATTAAGATTTCCAAAGAGTTTCACTTTCTTTCATTACTCCCATGTCATAGCAGGATAGCATAATGATTCCCCACTATTCTCACCAAAACTCAGCAACAGAAGTTTATCAGTCAAGGGTCCATCACATGGTGGCTCAGTTGATATGATCAGGTTTTTTGCTACTTTTTCAACCATATTATCAGTTGAACATGATTGAATATAGGCCATGATTCTCTAATCAGAAAATATAACTATAACTTGGGAATAGAAAAATACATGTAATTATATATATAATACTATGTAATTTTATTGTTGATACATATGTATTGATGCAAATGTTTTACCATCCGTAATTGTACATAAGCCTCTTTTGTTGTTTAGCTGTGTAGCATTAAGGGACATTACTTTTCAGTCATAAATATTCCATTAAACTTATATAACTTTTGCATATACCTGTGGCAGATTGTTGGAAGAGGATAACTGGATAGCATATTACTACAAATTTTTTTAATAGTTTTTACAAAGCTGTTTATTCTAAGAAATAGTTTGTTCTGCTTAAACTTCTTTAATAGTTCATTGAGTAGAGTCATAACTTTTAACTACATTATTTGGGAACAAGTGGTTCATAAATGTGCACAGATTATTAATTAGAGCCCTTTTTGTATTAGGATATTTGACATGAAACAGTATATTTTAAAATATAAATAAAATTTTAAGCAATTTGTTATCTATATTTTCTACAAGTTTAAAGAAAGACTCCATTAAACAGGGTAATAGTGTTAAAATATATGCTGCATGGAAATACTTATTATAACATCTGTACAGTTTACCAATGTGCATCTAAATGAGAGGGAACATCATTTAATAGACATTATTTAGCTTTATGTAGTACCTATGATTGATTATTAAAATTCACTTTATGCTTTTGGGCATTCAAGGGGTAAAGGAAAATAAAATTGTTATATAATTGTATTGCCTGATCCATAATTAAATATTTCAAGATCAACCAATATCATTGGGTATTAAATTCTAAAATTAATGTACAGTTATTTGTACCAGAAACACACACAAATGGCTATAAATACACAAAATAAAAAGAAGAAAATCGTGACATAAAGATAGAGAAATAAGTCCATGAAGGATTAATAGAATTTTGATGACTAGAGAGGGGCAAAGGTTTTACAATTTTTAAATAGTTGCTATTTCATATTTCATCAAACTCTTTATCAATTACAGTTATTTATTTGAAATCATTGATCTTTAACCTATGATTTTTTTAAGAAGATTCAACTAAATGTAATTATCCTGGCTGAAAATAATATAAAAATCTTCAGATGCAGTGGAAACAAAGTGGTTATGGAAATGTTCCTCAAATTCTTTTGCTAATGGATAAAACCAAACATGTGTGTGTTTGTCCACACAAAAAACTGTGGATGATCAAAGTCCCCTGTTCTTTATAATATCTGCTTTTTTGTTGTGCTATTTTCTCCTCCTGAAATGTTATCCTTTCCCATCTTAGACAAAGAAAAAAAGAGAAAAACTTCATTCTATAGGGATCAGCTTAAATATTTGTTACTTCCCACTGAAGCATTTCTTGTTACTATATGGTTGATATCTTCTTAGATTTCCATGTTTGGATGGCTCAAAATTTCATTTTATCTTGAGTTTTAATTATTTCACCTATGTTTCTCGTAGAATTGGATTAGAAACTTCTTACATACATTTTCTATTACCTATATATCTCCCCACTGTCCATAGTACCTAACATAGTTCTATGTATGTAGTCGATATATGATAATAACAGACTGTCTGAAAATAATTGATAATAAATGTCAACGCCTGAGGTCTTGTCCATTAAGATTCATTCTAAGCCTTTAAGTATCTTTTAATTCTGAATGTTGAATATTTTGAATAATAACTATCTACTGACCTTGGATATCTTGATGAAAAGGATTTAGGGAAACTTACAGGAAAATTGAGAGTTAATTACATTTGATAAAAGGAGCCTTCAGAGATACTCATTCTGACACCAAAAATTAACGCTTTGAAATGATAATAAAATTAATGCAATTCTCATATTTAACACTTAAAAAACTTTATAATCCCTGTAAAAGCCCTTGGTTTATCATGAAACAACCCAAAGAGACCATGTTGAGTATTAAAATTGAAAGATTTAGTACCTAATTTTCCCAGCCCACCCCACCCCCAAAAATATTTATTAATGAGGTAATGCAGGAGGCTAAACTAAGCTGGAAGTTAGCTAAAAACTGGAGTACTCTGCATCTTTGGAAATTATTTACATGAAAATTAATTCACATTCATTTGTGCTTTATGGCCAAGGGCTCTCATATAAAGATAGAAATCTACACATGGTCACCAACGGTTAAGAAAACACAGTGGGGATTTACCCAAACAGGTAACAACATTTTAAACAATTTACTATATTTACTTTTACAATAAACTTTTAAAATTCCATATATAACTTTTAAAGAAATTTATTATCTATTTTCTTTCAAGTGACCTTTGTTAATTAATAAGCTATATAAAGGATTTAGTTATTAGATTTGAAATCTATTTAAATGACTCACATATAACAAATTATTTTACAGCTCTGTCATATATTCTTGCTATTTAACATGTAATTTTCATTAAGCAGAGTTTTTTTTTTGTTTGTTTGTTTATATTGTTTACCACTGTATCCTCAGGACTTGACTAAGCATGCTTATCACATGACAGGTATTAATAAATATTTATTAAATTAACTAACATAATCACATTGCTTCTTTTTAAATATTAAACTAACTATAATTACCAAGGATTTATAAAGTGTGTGTTTGCATAGTATTCATATAATCCTGCAAGGACCTATGAGTGCTATGAATGATACTAAAGTCCTTACTCTGTTTGTCCCTATAAATCCATTCTCCAATATTTTCCAACCTGTCCTTTGTCCTAGGAGGCTGAACCGCATGGGCTACATCAACAGCACTCCCTTGCCCTATGATTCTGATTAAGTTTATCAATGAGTATATCAACCAGAGAGTGAGACCAAAGTATTTATTCTCTTGCAAGATTAACTAAGACTGACTGTATCTCTCAACCAATAGTTACTGCTCTTCTCAAAATAGTTGATAAACAACTGTACTGGTCCATTCTCATGCTGCTATGAAGAAATACCAGCCTGGGTAATTTAAAAAGAAAAGATGTTTAATTGACTCACATTTTCACATGGCTGGGAAGGCCTCAGGAAACTTACAATCATCGCAGAAGGGGAAGAAAACATTCCTTCTTCACATGGCAGCAGGAGCAAGAAGTGCCATCAGGGGAAATGCCAGATGCTTATACAATCATGTCTTGTGAGAACTCACTCACTATCAGAAGAACAGCATGGAGAAAACCACTGCAATGGTTCAATGATCTTCACCTGGTCCAGCCTTTGACATGTGGAGATTATTACAATTGATGGTGAGATTTGGCGGGGAACACAGAGCCAAACCTTATCATTCTACCTGTGGGCACTCCCAAATCTCAAGTCCCTACATTTCAAAACACAATCACGTCCTTCCTGCTGTTTCCTGAAGGTTTAACTAATTCCAGCCTTAACCCAAAAGTCCAAGTCCAAAGTCTCATCTAATACAAGGCAAGTCCCTTCCACCTATGAGCCTGTAAAATCAAAAACAAGTTAGTTACTTCCTAGATACAATGGGAGTACAGGCATTGGGTAAATATAGCCACTCCACATGGAAGAAGTTGGCCAAAACAAAGGGGCTTACAGGCCCTATGTAAGTCCAAAATCCACGAGGGCAATCACTAAACCTTAAAGTTCCAAAATGATCTCCTTTGACTCCATGTCTCACATCTAGGTCTTGCTGATGCAAGTTGTGGGATCCTATGGCCTTGGGTAGTTCTGCCTCTGTGGCTCTGAAGAGTACAGCCACACTCCTGGTGGCTTTCGCAAGCTAGCATTGAGTGTCTGTAGCTTTTCCAGGTATACAGTGCAAGCCATTAGCGGATCTACTATTCTGGGTTCTGGAGGATGGTGGCTCTCTTCTCAAAGCTCCACTAGGCAGTGCCCCAAAGGGGCCTCTGTGTAGGGGCTCTGACCTCTTATTTCCCCTTTGCACTGCCCTAGCAGAGGTTCTCCATGACAACCTCTCTTCTCTGCCCCTGCAGCAAACTTCTGCCTGGATATCCAAGTATTTCCATATATTCTCTGAAATCTAGGTGGAGTTTCCCAAACCTCAATTCTTGACTTCTGTTCACCTGCAGGACCAACATCATGTGGAAGCTGCCAAGGCTTGGAGCTTGCACCCTCTGATGCAATAGCCTAAGCTGTACCTTGGCTTCTTTTAGCCATGGCCGGAGTGGCTAGGACACAGGGCACCAAGTCCCAAGGCTGCACACAGCATGAAAACTGTGGACCCAGCCCAGGAAGCCATTTTTTCCTTCTAGGCCTCAAGGTCTCTGATGGTAGGGGCTACTGTGAGGCCTCTGACATGCCCTGGAGACATTTTATCCATTGGTTTCATGATTAGCATTTGGCTTCTAATGAGTTATGCAAATTTACGCAGCAGCTTGAATTTCTTCCCAGAAAATGGGTTTTTCTTTTTTAACGCATGGTCAAGCTGCAAATTATCCAAACTTTTATGTTCTGTCACCTCCTGAATACTTTACTGCCTAGAAATTTATTTTGCCAGATACCCTAAATCGTCTCTCTCAAGTTCAAAGTTCCACAGATCTTTAACATAGGATCAAAATGTCACCATTCTCTTTGCTAAAGCATAGCAAAATGAAACTTTACTCCAGTTTCCAATGAGTTTCTCATCTCCATTTGAGTCCATCTCAGCCTGGACTTCATTGTCCATATCACTATTAGTATTTTGGCCAAAGCCATTCAACAAGTCTCCTGAAAGTTTCAAACTTTCACACATCTTCCTGTCTTCTTCTGAATCCTCCAAATTGTTCCAACCTCTGCCTGTTACCCAGTTCCAAAGTTGCTGCTTCCACAATTTCAGTTATTTTTATTGCATTATCTTCGGTACCCATTTACTGTATTAGTCCATTCTCATGATGCTATCAAGAAATACCCAAGACCAGATAATTTATAAATAAAAGAGGTTTAATTGGCTCAGCATGGCTGGGAGGCCTCAGGAAACTTACAATCATGGCCAAAGACATCTCTTCACAGGGAAGCAGGAGAGGGAATGAGTACCAAGCAAAGGGGGAAAATTCCCTTATAAAACCATCAACTCTCATAAGAGCTCACTCACTATCACGATAACAGCATGAGAGTAACCGCCCCTATGATTCAACTACCTCCCACTGGGTTCTTCCCAGGACATATGGGGTTAAGGGAACTACAAATAAAGATGAGATTTGGGTGGAGATACAGCCAAATCATATCAAGTGGTATAGGCATGATAGTCGGGGTCCCCTGCTTGTGTAGCTTCTCTGCTTCTGTAAGGTTGTGAACCTAGAAAATATGAGACAGGTCTCAGTTCATTTAAAAAGTTTATTTTGCCCGGGTTGAGAACACACCCATGACACAGCCTCAGGAAATCCTGACAACATGTGCCCAAGGTGGTTGGGACACAGCTTGGTTTTATACATTTTAGGGAGACATAAGACATCAATCAATATATGTAAGAAATACATTGGCTTCATCCAGACAGGTGGAGACAACTCAGAGGAAGCTCACCCCAGCCCCCCTGGGGGCTTTCATGTCATGGGTAGGCGAGAGACAATTGCATTCTTTTGAGTTTCTGGTAAGTCTTTCCAAAGAAGACAATCAGAATATGCATCTATCTCTGTGAGCAGAGGGATATTTTGAATACAATGGAAAGCCAATTTTGTCCTGAGTGGTTCCCAGCTTGAAGGAGCCCAAGACACTTTCCTTCCATAAGGTTCGTAATGTGTAACTTCCACCTTATGATGAATTGATGCTGGGTGCACCTGATTTTATTACTTGATGTGTCTGACACAAGTCAGTTCAAAATGAGCTGCATGGTTGTTTGATGGCCCTTGGTTAGGCACTCCATCTCTACGAAAGCCCATTATCACATCAGAGGCTGTTTTTTAATTGATGTGTACTTTTCAGAAACACATATTATTAACTTTTCTACAAAACCTCAGGTGTCTATGTAGTTATCCTACTGGAACTTGTCACAAACCCTACATAGTATTTTCTTCTCATCATAGACAGCTCTACTATTAGAGGATCTGCCAGTTCATATGTTTAAAGCGGCAGAGGCTCATGTGCTGTATCAAAACCCCCAATGTATTTTTTACTATCTATTCATTTGATCCAAGTAATCAATATTTTTAATATGGTATACCAAATATCATGTGTAATAGGTAAGTAATTCAGGTCTCTTGGGAGTATATTATAACAGAGATTGGGGGAATTAACATAATGCTTGTGTGAGATAAAAAATATATACTTTATCCATTTTATGTGAATATGAAGTATTTCTGATTCTTTTACCCCATTGAAATAAAAAAATGTATTTGCCAGATTATTGGCTGTATCCTAAAACTATGTTACTCTATTCTAGATAAGATACCACATAGAACACCATAGTTGCAAGCAGACTACTAATTGGTCAAGTTGGAAGTAGCGTATTATATCACCCTGGATGTTTCTGATTTTGTAGGAGTCCGACTGATAAATTAAATGAGTATAGTTTGGGCACCATTATCATTCCTTCCTTTAGATCCTTAAAAGTGACACGAGGAGGTAGAGCAAGATGTTGGGATAGAAGTCTCCACCGTTTGTCTCCCCTGCTAGGATACCGATTTAACAACTATCTAAATAAATAAAACATCTTCATAAGCACCAAAAATTAGGTGAGTATTCATAGTATCCTGGTTTTTATCTTCATATCACTTAAAGAGGCCCTGCAGAGATAGAAAAAAATGCAATCTTGAATCACTGACACCACTTCTCTCCCACTCCTTGGAAGTGGTGGCTGTGGTATGGAGAGCATCTCTGCGCATTGAGGGAGGAAGAACAGTCATTGTGAGGCATAGATTTCAGTGTTGTTCTGTTAGAGTGGAAAAGGAAACCAGATCAAACTCAGCTTATATCTGCCCACAGAGGGGGCATTTAAACTAACCCTAGCCAGAGAGAATCATGGATCCTAGCAGGGGGAACTTGAGTTCCTGTTAACCTCACCACTGAGAGTTAGAGCACTCTGGGTCTATAAGTAAATCTGAAAGACAGTCTAGCCTATAAGGACTGCAACTCTTAGGCAAGTCCTAGTGCTGACCTAGGACAAAAGACAGTGGACTGTAGGGACATGTGACCTATTGAGACATCAACTGGGGTGGCTAATAGAATGTGGGCATCACACTTGCCCTAACCCCAGGCTAAATATCTCAAGGCTCCAAAAGAGAGCCCTTCCTTCCTTTTGAGGAGAGGAGAGGGAAAAGTGGTAAGGACTTTGTCTTGCATCTTGGATACTAGCTCAGCTGCAGCAGGATACACCAATCAGAGCTGTGAGGCCCCTGTTCCAGACCCTAGCTCCATACAACATTTCTAGACACACCCTGGGCCAGATGGTAACCTGCTGCCTTTGAGAAAATGATTCAGTCCTGGTAGCATTCATCACGTGGTAACTGAAGAACCTTTAGGTCCTGAATAACCAGCAATGATACCCAGGTCCTAAGTCAGGGGCCTCAAGTGAGCCTCTGAGACTTGCTGGCTTTAGGAGCGATTCAACACATTATCAGCTTTAATGTCTTAGAGGAAAAACTGCTCATGCTTCAGAAAAGCACAGGGAAAAGTAGAGAGTACTTTGACTTGCACCTTAGGTACCAACATGGTCACAGGATGATAGAGGCCCAAGTGGGGTCTTGGGGCACTTAGTTCCAGGACTTGACTCTTGGATAGCATTTCTGGACCTTCCCTGGGCCAGAGGGGATCCCATAGACCTGAAGGGTGAGTCTCAGGCTAGTCAGCATTCACCATAAGCTGACTTAAAAACCCTTAGAACTTAAGAGAAGATTGATGGTAGTCTGGCAGTACTACTCATGGTCTGTGGTGATGGTGGCTATGGAGTGAGACACTTCTGTTTTTGTAAAGGGGAGGGAAGAGTGGGAAGGATTGCATCCTGTGGTTTGAGTGCCAGCCCAGCCACAGTACAATAGAATACCAGGTAGATTTCTAACATTTTTCGCTCTACTCCCTGACTTCTGGATGTCACCTCTGGACCCAGCTGGGGGCTGAAAGGATCTTATTGCTTTGAAAGAAAGAACACAGTCTGGCTGGCTTTTTTACCTGCTGATTGTAGAGCCCCAGGACCTTGAGCAAAAATAGGCAGTAGCCAGGGGGTGAATACAGCAGTCCTTAGGTAAGACCCAGTTCTGTGCTAGTTTCAGGTCTGACTCAGTACAGTCATAGTGGTGGTGGCCACAGGGATACTTGTGTTACTTTACTCTCAGCTTTAGGTGGCTCAGAATGGACAGAGAGATTCTGTTTGGTTGGGAGAAAGTAAGGGAAGAGAACAAGAGTCTCTGCTTGGTAATCCAGAGAGTTCTCCCAAATCTTGTCCAAGACCATCAAGGCAGTACTCAATGAGTCTGAAAACAATACAACATTACTAGGCTTGGGGTGCCCCTTAAATCAGATGCAGCTTACATCACAACACCCAAGTCCTTTTAAATATCTGGAAAGTCTTTCCAAGAAGGATGGGTACAAACAAGTGCAGATCATGAAGACTACAATAAATATCTCTTCACTGCCCAGGCACTGAAGAACATATACTAGCACCAACAATATCCAGGAAAACATAACCTTACCAAATTAAATAACGCACCAGAAACCCATTCTGGGGAAACAGAGATATATGACCTTTGAGACAGAGAATTCTATTTGCTGTGTTGAAGAAACTCAAAGAATTTCAAGATAGCACAGAAAAAGAAATCAGAAGTACATAAGATAAATTTGATGAAGAGATCGAAATAATTAGAAAGGGTTAAGCAGAAATTCCGGAGCTGAAAAATGCAGTTGGTATGCTGAGTGCTTTAACAGTGGAACTGAACAAGCAGAAGAAAGAATTAGTGAGCTGGAAGTCAGGTTATTTGAAAATACCCAGAGGAGACAAATGAAAATATAAAAAACAATAAACCATGCCTACAGGATCTAGAAAACAGCCTCAAAAGGACAAATCTAAGAGTTATTGAAGGTCCTGAAGATGACGTAAATAATCTAAGGTCCTGAAGATGACGTAAATAAAGGGGTAAGTGTAGAAAGTTTATTCAAAGAGATAACAACAGATAACTTCCCAAACATAAAGACATCAATATCCATGTACAAGAAGGTTATAGAACACCAAGCAGGTTTAACCCAAAAGAGACTACCTCAAGGCATTTAATAATCAAACCCCCAAAGATCAAGGAAAAGGAAAGGATTCTAAAAGCAGCAAGATAAAATAAATAATGTACAATGAAACTCTAAAATGTCTGGCAGCAGACTTTTCGTGGAAACCTTATAGGTCATAAGAGAGGGGCATAATATATTTAAAGTACTAAAGGAAAAAACTCTTTTACCCTAGAATTGCATATCTGGTGAAAATATCATTCAAACATGAAGAAGAAATAAAGACTTTTCAAGACAAACAAAAGCTGAAGGATTTCATCCCCAGATCTGTC